AAAGTGATTCACAGTGAAAAATCACCTTCATTAGTAGGCAAGAAGGTTCAGGCAACGATGCGTCAATCAGTTGACAACACAAGCACACAGACTGATCCGATGGCTCAAGTCCCTACTGCACTACCAAAAACCACGTTCGATGTTGTGACTCAATCTGGTACTATCCACTGTGCACAGTCAGTTCAGACTATTCCAGAGGAGCGACCAGTTTTCCATACTGTCGGTGTAGGAGTTGATCATACTGGGAGATTGCAGCCCGTGTTATACGAGAACGTTCAGGCGACAATGCGTCAATCAGATTGACAACACAAGCACACAGACTGATCCGATGGCTCAAGTCCCTACTGCACTACCAAAAACCACGTTCGATGTTGTGACTCAATCTGGTACTATCCACTGTGCACAGTCAGTTCAGACTATTCCAGAGGAACGACCAGTATTCCATACTGCAGACGTCAGTGTGATTCACAGTGAAAAATCACCTTCATTAGTAGGCAAGAAGGTTCAGGCAACGATGCGTCAATCAGTTGACAACACAAGCACACAGGACTGATCCGATGGCTCAAGTCCCTACTGCACTACCAAAAACCACGTTCGATGTTGTGACTCAATCTGGTACTATCCACTGTGCACAGTCAGTTCAGACTATTCCAGAGGAACGACCAGTATTCCATACTGCAGACGTCAGTGTGATTCACAGTGAAAAATCACCTTCATTAGTAGGCAAGAAGGTTCAGGCAACGATGCGTCAATCAGTTGACAACACAAGCACACAGACTGATCCGATGGCTCAAGTCCCTACTGCACTACCAAAAACCACGTTCGATGTTGTGACTCAATCTGGTACTATCCACTGTGCACAGTCAGTTCAGACTATTCCAGAGGAGCGACCAAGTTTTCCATACTGTCGGTGTAGGAGTTGATCATACTGGGAGATTGCAGCCCGTGTTATACGAGAACGTTCAGGCGACAGTGCGTCAATCAGTTGACAACACAAGCACACAGACTGATCCGATGGCTCAAGTCCCTACTGCACTACCAAAAAACCACGTTCGATGTTGTGACTCAATCTGGTACTATCCACTGTGCACAGTCAGTTCAGACTATTCCAGAGGAACGACCAGTATTCCATACTGCAGACGTCAGTGTGATTCACAGTGAAAAATCACCTTCATTAGTAGGCAAGAAGGTTCAGGCAACGATGCGTCAATCAGTTGACAACACAAGCACACAGACTGATCCGATGGCTCAAGTCCCTACTGCACTACCAAAAACCACGTTCGATGTTGTGACTCAATCTGGTACTATCCACTGTGCACAGTCAGTTCAGACTATTCCAGAGGAACGACCAGTTTTCCATACTGTCGGTGTAGGAGTTGATCATACTGGGAGATTGCAGCCCGTGTTATACGAGAACGTTCAGGCGACAATGCGTCAATCAGTTGACAACACAAGCACACAGACTGATCCGATGGCTCAAGTCCCTACTGCACTACCAAAAACCACGTTCGATGTTGTGACTCAATCTGGTACTATCCACTGTGCACAGTCAGTTCAGACTATTCCAGAGGAACGACCAGTATTCCATACTGCAGACGTCAGTGTGATTCACAGTGAAAAATCACCTTCATTAGTAGGCAAGAAGGTTCAGGCAACGATGCGTCAATCAGTTGACAACACAAGCACGCAGACTGATCCGATGGCTCAAGTCCCTACTGCACTACCAAAAACCACGTTCGATGTTGTGACTCAATCTGGTACTATCCACTGTGCACAGTCAGTTCAGACTATTCCAGAGGAACGACCAGTATTCCATACTGCAGACGTCAGTGTGATTCACAGTGAAAAATCACCTTCATTAGTAGGCAAGAAGGTTCAGGTAACGATGCGTCAATCAGTTGACAACACAAGCACACAGACTGATCCGATGGCTCAAGTCCCTACTGCACTACCAAAAACCACGTTCGATGTTGTGACTCAATCTGGTACTCTGTCTGTTACTGTTGGCTGTCAAGCTGTTCTTATATCGGAAGACGTTTTGATGAAGGATGTTGCTGTTGAATATGTTAGATCGTTAAATCCGTTTTTCTCTAAGGCTATCCAAGCTAGTTTACAAGTTGAAAGTAAAAACATTGAAATACAATGTCTGATAAGAGATAAACGTTTAGTGAATATTCGAAATGCAGAAGCTCAATTCGACGTATTTTGCCGTCAGGGAGAAACTCAAACTTTTGATTTATCTTTAACAACTACGAAAGAAGGAAGTGTTCAGCACACACCAACGACTACACAGTTAATAAATAAAAAGCTACAAGTAACTGTATCCCAGTCAGTTCGAGAGGCAGCCGCGCAAACATGCGAATCAATACCAGTTGTAACAGTACCCACGATGCAAAGAATTTATCACTCTACACAGACACATGAAACAACATCACAAACTGAGAGTCTAGAAGTTTTTGACCGTCAGTCCTACGCGCAAATCAAATGTAAAACAATTGATATAGAAATACAATCACGAATCGATTGCAAATCACAGGGATTGCAGACAACAATAGAGCAAAAAGCATTCATGATGACAAAAGAAACTAGCACACAGTATGAGGCAGTTCAAACGACAATGATAAATGTAGATATTCAAGCAGATGCTCGATATCCAGTGGCCAATTCTTACGTCCAAACGGATGAAGGTCAACTGATACATAACAAGCAGAAACAGCAGACGAATTTACAGACACAATCAGGAATAAGTCAAAAAGAACAGGCATCACAAACATTAGATGTTCAAACAACAGTGAACAAGACCGACGTTAGTGTAACTTATGAAATTAAAAATCGACAAATAAACAAGAAGTTGCAAGCAACAATAATGTCTGACATGAAAGACATAATCATACAAACAGAAATAGTAGGAACCTCCGCATTTCAAAAACCAAGAAAAACTACATTTGATGTGCAAACACAATCAGGATCAGTCACGATAAATTCTGAAACACAAACACCACACAAACCGAAACTAATCCCAAATATAAAGGATGTGAGTGTTATTCATGAGCCACATCATGTTCAAACAGTAAACAAGAAACTTCAAGCTGTGGTATACCCTCCATCTGGCGATGTGTGTTTGCAAACCGAAGAGGTAAGCGTACAACCTGTCAAACCCGTTGCTCAGGAGTTTTCTCGAGCGCCGCAAGTCGCACATAAGCAAACACAAGCAGAATGGCTGAATGCCAATATAAAAACTTTTGATATACAAGCACAATCAGGGATGGTTGTCAAGACACAGTCAACACAAACTATTCAACAAGAACAACCAATACTCAATACTGCAGACGTCAGTGTGATTCACAGTGAAAAATCACCTTCACTAATGAACAAGAAACTTCAGGCGACAATACGTCAATCAGTTGAGAACACAAGCACACAGACTGATCCGATGGCTCAAGTCCCTACTGCACTACCAAAAACCACGTTCGATGTTGTGACTCAATCTGGTACTATCCACTGTGCACAGTCAGTTCAGACTATTCCAGAGGAACGACCAGTATTCCATACTGCAGACGTCAGTGTGATTCACAGTGAAAAATCACCTTCATTAGTAGGCAAGAAGGTTCAGGCAACGATGCGTCAATCAGTTGACAACACAAGCACACAGACTGATCCGATGGCTCAAGTCCCTACTGCACTACCAAAAACCACGTTCGATGTTGTGACTCAATCTGGTACTATCCACTGTGCACAGTCAGTTCAGACTATTCCAGAGGAACGACCAGTATTCCATACTGCAGACGTCAGTGTGATTCACAGTGAAAAATCACCTTCATTAGTAGGCAAGAAGGTTCAGGCAACGATGCGTCAATCAGTTGACAACACAAGCACACAGACTGATCCGATGGCTCAAGTCCCTACTGCACTACCAAAAACCACGTTCGATGTTGTGACTCAATCTGGTACTATCCACTGTGCACAGTCAGTTCAGACTATTCCAGAGGAGCGACCAGTTTTCCATACTGTCGGTGTAGGAGTTGATCATACTGGGAGATTGCAGCCCGTGTTATACGAGAACGTTCAGGCGACAATGCGTCAATCAGTTGACAACACAAGCACACAGACTGATCCGATGGCTCAAGTCCCTACTGCACTACCAAAAACCACGTTCGATGTTGTGACTCAATCTGGTACTATCCACTGTGCACAGTCAGTTCAGACTATTCCAGAGGAACGACCAGTATTCCATACTGCAGACGTCAGTGTGATTCACAGTGAAAAATCACCTTCATTAGTAGGCAAGAAGGTTCAGGCAACGATGCGTCAATCAGTTGACAACACAAGCACACAGACTGATCCGATGGCTCAAGTCCCTACTGCACTACCAAAAACCACGTTCGATGTTGTGACTCAATCTGGTACTATCCACTGTGCACAGTCAGTTCAGACTATTCCAGAGGAACGACCAGTATTCCATACTGCAGACGTCAGTGTGATTCACAGTGAAAAATCACCTTCATTAGTAGGCAAGAAGGTTCAGGCAACGATGCGTCAATCAGTTGACAACACAAGCACACAGACTGATCCGATGGCTCAAGTCCCTACTGCACTACCAAAAACCACGTTCGATGTTGTGACTCAATCTGGTACTATCCACTGTGCACAGTCAGTTCAGACTATTCCAGAGGAACGACCAGTTTTCCATACTGTCGGTGTAGGAGTTGATCATACTGGGAGATTGCAGCCCGTGTTATACGAGAACGTTCAGGCGACAATGCGTCAATCAGTTGACAACACAAGCACACAGACTGATCCGATGGCTCAAGTCCCTACTGCACTACCAAAAACCACGTTCGATGTTGTGACTCAATCTGGTACTATCCACTGTGCACAGTCAGTTCAGACTATTCCAGAGGAACGACCAGTATTCCATACTGCAGACGTCAGTGTGATTCACAGTGAAAAATCACCTTCATTAGTAGGCAAGAAGGTTCAGGTAACGATGCGTCAATCAGTTGACAACACAAGCACACAGACTGATCCGATGGCTCAAGTCCCTACTGCACTACCAAAAACCACGTTCGATGTTGTGACTCAATCTGGTACTATCCACTGTGCACAGTCAGTTCAGACTATTCCAGAGGAACGACCAGTATTCCATACTGCAGACGTCAGTGTGATTCACAGTGAAAAATCACCTTCATTAGTAGGCAAGAAGGTTCAGGCAACGATGCGTCAATCAGTTGACAACACAAGCACACAGACTGATCCGATGGCTCAAGTCCCTACTGCACTACCAAAAACCACGTTCGATGTTGTGACTCAATCTGGTACTATCCACTGTGCACAGTCAGTTCAGACTATTCCAGAGGAGCGACCAGTTTTCCATACTGTCGGTGTAGGAGTTGATCATACTGGGAGATTGCAGCCCGTGTTATACGAGAACGTTCAGGCGACAATGCGTCAATCAGTTGACAACACAAGCACACAGACTGATCCGATGGCTCAAGTCCCTACTGCACTACCAAAAACCACGTTCGATGTTGTGACTCAATCTGGTACTATCCACTGTGCACAGTCAGTTCAGACTATTCCAGAGGAACGACCAGTTTTCCGTACGGTTAATTTGAGCGTTGATCATTTTGATCCTGTGCCCATTGTTCGATCAACAGTCTCATCGACAATGCATACTCTTCCTAACACATCACAATCAACACAGACCACACTCACTAAACTAGCGGATACATTCTGTCAAGCAACCTTACCTTCTACAACATACGACGTCCAAATTCAATCTGGAGTAATACATTCCGTAGATGGGACACAGACTGTCGATTTAAGTTCACCTGTTGAGTTGAAAGAAATGAGTGTCGCACACGAAAAGGAACGAACTATTCTGAAAGGGAAAAAGCTTCAGGTTCGTTGTGATTCGATTGATCTGGGTGTCCAAACAGATCAAATTACCCCCATTGTTCAGTCAACAATCTCATCGACAATGCATACTCTTCCTAACACATCACAATCAACACAGACCACACTCACTAAACTAGCGGATACATTCTGTCAAGCAACCTTACCTTCTACAGCATACGACGTCCAAATTCAATCTGGAGTAATACATTCCGTAGATGGGACACAGACTGTCGATTTAAGTTCACCTGTTGAGTTGAAAGAAATGAGTGTCACACACGAAAAGGAACGAACTATTCTGAAAGGGAAAAAGCTTCAGGTTCGTTGTGATTCGATTGATCTGGGTGTCCAAACAGATCAAATTACCCCCATTGTTCAGTCAACAATCTCATCGACAATGCATACCCTTCCTAACACATCACAATCAACACAGACCACACTCACTAAACTAGCGGATACATTCTGTCAAGCAACCTTACCTTCTACAACATACGACGTCCAAATTCAATCTGGAGTAATACATTCCGTAGATGGGACACAGACTGTCGATTTAAGTTCACCTGTTGAGTTGAAAGAAATGAGTGTCGCACACGAAAAGGAACGAACTATTCTGAAAGGGAAAAAGCTTCAGGTTCGTTGTGATTCGATTGATCTGGGTGTCCAAACAGATCAAATTACCCCCATTGTTCAGTCAACAATCTCATCGACAATGCATACTCTTCCTAACACATCACAATCAACACAGACCACACTCACTAAACTAGCGGATACATTCTGTCAAGCAACCTTACCTTCTACAACATACGACGTCCAAATTCAATCTGGAGTAATACATTCCGTAGATGGGACACAGACTGTCGATTTAAGTTCACCTGTTGAGTTGAAAGAAATGAGTGTCGCACACGAAAAGGAACGAACTATTCTGAAAGGGAAAAAGCTTCAGGTTCGTTGTGATTCGATTGATCTGGGTGTCCAAACAGATCATAATATGCCTACTGTTCACTTGGACAGTAAATTAACTCAAACTGCTTTAGTTCGTTATACGGATGTATCATGTCAGTATACTGAACTCACGAAGCCTTCATCAACTAGTCATTCAGTAACGTCCAGAGTTGTTAGCATTCAAACAGATGTGCCTTTTTTAACAAACGTACGTGTGGATCAACGGAACAAGAAATTTCAAGTAAATCTAATATCGCCTTCATCACCAAAGAGTCCAACAAATGTAGCCTCTATAGGAACACAAACTTCAGATTATAGATACCAGGATATAAGTATTGAACAGGTTGATAAAACAACAGCTCCGTCAGTGGATGCACATGTGTTTCATGATTCAGCGTCTAACGTGACAAGCACTTCACAAGCAATACCAAAAATAAAAATAGATCAAGAGTGCCAAGTAAAAATAACTCCTCAACAATATCAAAAGAAACTTCAGTATGGTTCCTCATTTTCTACATTAAAAAATACATCTTCTCAAACTATACAGGACAGTTGTCTTTGTGACCATCATAAAACTTCTTTGTTATCAAGTATTGGAGTTCAGGCGAGTAATATACGACCAGTAGTTACAGTAGACACAGGGACTCAAGAAACAAGACCAAGTGAGACTTCTCCATCACCTTTACAAGTTAAGAACAAAAAATTACAAGTCTACCCCTCTAAACTTGGTGAACAAGTAGAAGAGGAATTTATACATCCTCAAGAGACAATCTGCAAAGAAATTTCAACCTCATTAACTGAGACAACACAGACAGATGAGTGTTTATTAAAAAATATCGAATGTTTCAAGTGTATATCACGGGGATATGATAAGAAAACGATTGATAAAGATATGCAATCGGAAGAAAAATCAATAAGAACAAAACAAACAGCATCCAGTACAGTGAAATCAAATTACTTTACACGTATTCTCCAAATGGAAACTATTCCTGAAAAGCCAAAAGCATCAGACACATCCGATGTGCTGAAACTATTCAGAGAGTCCGGCTATAGAGCTAAGTGTGAATCAAAGAATGTCCAAACTGATACGTTTTTGTTAGGAAGTATTCAGTTACTTGAAAGTAGGGAAGTTGATAGCGTGGGAAAAATTTCGAAAAAGACCACAATTATTCAGCTGGAAAAGTTAACTACGGATAAGTGTGTAGATACTATGCCCTTTGAAAAAGGACTTATAGGATCTCAAACATCCTATCATGATATCCAGACATCTGAAAGGAGAAATATAAAGTTACTAAAAGAAACACCATGGTCAGAAGCACAAGCATCAAATGTTCTGCAAGATATTCAATATGAAATAAGACATCCTCAAATGATAGATTCAAGTGGAAGTTACTCACCTCAACAAAATTCAGTTTCAGTTAGTGCACGACCAACTACTCATATGCTTGCTCATACAGAATCAACAAGTAGAAATGGAAATGGAAAGGTTAAGACACCGTATCAATATTTAAAACCAGATGTTGTAAGTTGGGGAGTACAATTTGCACCAGTAACACTTACTGGGGTAACGCAAACCACTGAATCTTCGAAACATAAGTTAACTATCGATTCACCAGTAAACATAGGTGTACAAACAGATGCGATTGAAGATGACTATTATATAAAAAGAGTTGTAACGACAATAGCTAGGAAAGGTCTGTCATCTTATTGTCGCCGAGGTCCAGTAGCCAAAAGAATTGTAGAATGCACTGATCTATTGACATCGAGTTTACCTAGTAACCTAGATGAAGAGTTCGATGAAGAAACAACAATTGGACCAAGAACAACGAAGGTCACAACTATGCAAAAACGTGGAGATCGTCGAGTAGTACATGAAGAGTTACTTACAGAGGACTATAGGGAAAGAGGAAGTTCACTTGACTCTCATGTAGCCCACGAACGGTTTCTGAGAGAAACACACCCACAGGATATCGATTTGCATGGAATGCATGAACATGAGACAGACATATATACTGATGCTGAAATCTGTTTGCAGAATTTACTGAAAGTATGGGGAGAGCAATACTTGCTTTCTAGATTAAGAACGATTGGTAGACACTCAGAGCTTTCAGTTAGTCTTGATCGAAGTATACATACAGCGGAAAAATCACGGCTAGTTGAAGCGAAGACACAGTTTACTTCAACGGGAAACTTAGTGAGTCAAATCAGAAATCTTGAGAACATAGGAACACAGACCAGTAATATTCTCCTTACCACTCGACCTCCACATAAAAATAAACGGATACAACGCGGTCGTAGCTTCATTTCTGGAGGAACAAATCAGCCACCACCGACGCGTAGTGGCTCGGTAGTAAGTCCACTGTCGCCAACTACCGAAGAGCTGACAAGTCACCATCGTCAACACGGGATAACAAGCATGCAGACACGTACTTCTCATCCATTTAATTTGGCCACTACCACATTTACAGAGACTACACAAGAGCAATCGACATTCAGTATTGAACATACAGTCCAGACTTATATATGTCCAACATGTGGAAGTCAAGCTAGCATCCCAGTGACCGTTCATTCACAAATACAACCTCAAACACTTCCAATAATGCAATTAAAAGACGCCCAATCACAAACTCGGTTTGTGGGGCAGATGACAACTGATGATAACTGCACATATCTACCAACTTACCTAAGTGATGAGGAAGTAATTCGCATAAATCAGAGCCAGAAAATTGAAGACAAAGAATTTTCGATAGTGACATGGCATCCAGCAGAAATACGAGATACAGAACGCCGTAAGGACAGCGACACAAGTAACCAGGTACGAGATGAAGTTTGGGTTGATAGTCCTGGGAAATTGCTGGAGCTCAAAATAACTGGAGTAATAGTACCTGGAACAAGCAAAATCATTAGCGCAAGTGAAGCATTTTATCGTGGTTTACTAAGAGTAGTATACTGGGATTATGAAAAACTTGGACCTAGGCAATCATCAGTAGATTCAACAGTTTCCATACCACTGGCAGATGCAGTGATTTCTAAGGCAGTTCGGTTAGCTAGTGATAGAATATCAACAGAAGCGGAGCCATCATTGGATGCCAAAATAGTTTGGAGAACACCAGAGATACAACGAAGTAGGTATTTAGTACATTCAATTAGACCTGATGCAGGTCAAAACAAACATAACCCAATTAATCTGGACGTTGCATCTGCAATACGAGCTGGTCTAATTGACAAAGAAACCGGTCGAATGTTGTTTACACATTCTATTTACGAGTCACCATTCAGTACTGATTCATTGATAAGTAAAAAAGGTGATAGTAGCTCTGACCAAACTGAACGACTGTCTGTCAGAGAAGCAATTGTACGTGGATTTTTAGTTGCAGAATTAATAGAACCAGAATCATCGTATATAGCAAAGCAAAGTTTACCATTTATTGTCCCAAGCACAAGTTATTCACACTCTCCAACTGATGTTGACATTTGACCTGTTGTTTAATCATTATTATTATTATTATTATTATTATTGAAAATAAGTGAATACACATAAAACCTGTTTTGTAACCTAGAAAAACTGACCCTCGTCTGTGTATAAGTATGGTTCTCTTCCAGAGAAAAAGTCGCCTTATTCAATCAGCACTACGTTGTTTGTGTGTGTAGCCAATTATTTCAAGTATCATCTTACTCCTTTTCTGTTTTTCGTCGCGTTTTTCCTCTTAAACAACAAAACAAAACGGAAACTATCACTTACCTAACCAAATATCCAATATAACGATCATAAAAATAATTTCTATTTTATTCTTTTTCTGTTGACATTCTATTGATAATAATAATAATAATAATAATAATAATAATAATAATAATAATAATAATAATAATAATAATAATAATAATAATAATAATAATCAGTTTATAGAAAGTTACATTGGTCTTTAGCGCAAATTTAACCTTAAAGCAGTTTCATATCAGCATCCTATGAGGAAGGTATTAAATTTAAATTGGTTCTAAAATCTTTGCTATTCAGAGACCAAGATTAATAATTAATATATTATTAGGATATGTACTTCAAACATATGTAGAGCATCTGTGGTTTACAACAAGGATTGATTGTAGCTAGACGACAGCAGGAAACCAGGAAGCACTGGGCAGCCGTTTCGTCCAAGTACAAGAATCCTCGGTAATGCGTACCTACTACCCTATTAGTGGTTGAACTTAGGAACTTCAAGCCTCACAGCAAGTGCTAAACTTAGGTCCACTGAGTAGGTATCTAACAGTTTACATTTCCAACTTCAGTCAAATTTCCATATTAAGCGATTATCATCCAAAACCATTGGTGAGTGATTGCCTCGTTGTAGACGCAGTTGAAATCCACTGGTAACAACTTTGCAATAGGTAGCATGAGTTCTAATTTCGACCCCTGGTGGCTGAGCACTGTTGAGGAGTCCATACTAAGACGAAGAGGCTGTCTCATATTTCTTAGTTCCCACTGGTTGTGTAGTTACATACAGTGAGTCCGTGGTACAAACTACAAAATTCAACAGCCTTCACAAAACCATCTGCACTAATTTTAAAATTATTGACTCAATTATCTGTTAATGAGCAAAAAATAGGTAGATAGATAGACAAAAGCAGTTGTTGAACAGAACTGACTATCGGTGAGATGCACAATTCAAGATATTATATATACAACTAATTTAAATTGGGAAAAAAAAGAAAATCTTACTCGTATTTATTCTCTTTCGAAACCAAGGTTACTAGTTTGGAAAGTATGCAGGGATTGATACCAATAACAAAACTAAGAAGTGAAAAATCACTGAAAAGCAATCAAAGATATAATGACATTAGAGTACGAAACATGCCAAAACTACTGAGTCATAACAATATACTGGAAAGTGACATATTCTCATATCGATCAAATAACAGAGTCAAACTAATCAGCCGATATTTGAACGTTAATTCAGACTGCAACAATGTTCAATTGTTCAAATAGACTAATTTAGGCGACAATCAAACCTATGGTACGTGAACTGGTCAACAGAAATATGGTTATTCCAATAAAATGAACAATTATGACTGATTAATTTATTTCAAAGTTTATGCAAAAAACAAGCTATATATTCGTTCCATAAGTTATGAATCAGAAATATTTTTTCTCGGGAGATTAATATCAACACTAATTCGATTTCCAAGACTATCGTAGGATGTAAAGGCAATCAAACATTAATGAACCAAAAACATGTATTGCTTATATAGCATTAAAAGATCAAAATATTTAGAATATTTAAATAATGGAAATATCTACATCCTTTAGGCTATATGCTATTTTATTAGATATAATAAGGTATATATGAAGATAACAGTTCATAAACAACACGCACGTCGAGTAGAATTAGAAAGATTTACTTTTGGTTGCTTATCACCAGTGTATAGCTTTTAACAGAAGTTGATAGTAATCTAAACAAGAACATCAACTAAATGGTAAACGTTACCATATTATCTATGCTTATGTTAAAACACGTAGACAAATATGGACAAAGACCTGACCAGGAGAACGTTGAAATAGTGAACAGAAACACAAAGACCGCTCAATTTTTATGTTTTACTAATTAGGTTAGTTAACAAAATCAATAAGCACATTGAAATAGGCTCACTTCATGAACCAATTAGAACAAGTATAAACAACTATAAGGCCATGTAAGAATAGGTCCAGGGGACAAAGCAACCAAGATATATGTGCAAAAAATGACAGAACGACAACCAATCAGATTCAAGGTTGACAGAAAGGCGATAGCAGAAGTTAATAATGCTGCAAAAATCTAGTTCCTACAGAAAATATAGTTTGTATGGAAAGTAAGTAGAGGAAAATTACCCTTAGGTAATGAGGTCTAACAATATTTCGATTCTGGTGAAATCAAATCTCTGAGCAGGATGGCTTAATTGTGAAGCTCTCATTACATTTCTAGACATCACAAGTCCCAAACAGAAGTGAGTCTTTGGGAATTTCTCATCACTTGATACAGAATAAAATGAACTTTTGTGCCTACAACTGTTTTCGCATTGAAGTGTAATATAATATTAAACTAAAAATATTGGTGGCTGAAGAAAGCTGAAATAACAATAATTATCAGTACAGTATATGCATGTGTAAGGTCATTTGAAGATAAATATAGATATAGTAGGAGTGGGACAGTATTTACTTGGAACTCCAAGACTGACAAATTAGTTTGTGTAACAAATTATGAGCGATTTGGAGTTTACAGAAGTTTTAATAATTTGGTGAATGAAAATCACAAATGAATAGAAATATCATTCCTAATTCTATGAAATAATAATCAGCCAAGTGAGAATTGCATAAAAAAGTACATACAATGATACAGCTAGACCTCATTACCTAAGGATAATCCTCTTCTATTTTTTATTAAATTTACACACAAACTTTTCTAGTAAGATGTAGATTCTGATGATTGATATATAAACCTCTAACGTCTCCTTTGATCTACTGGTAGAGATAATTTATTTGAACACATAAATATTGGTACAAAGGGGCACTAAATATACATATGCCACACAAGTCACTTGATTTGTGTGATAAAACTTAAAAATAAATCATTGATCACCGTTTGTGCAATGAACTCAAATCGATGAAGACGAATCCACGTCCTTCATTAAACCAGATGAAATAATCGAAAACGACTATCAGTTATTAACTAGTACCTTCCACAAATATGACTAACCAAACACCAGTGTGTTCAATGAACTCCGAACCATACGAATTGTGCGGACGCTTAAAATACTGTTAACCTGCCACAATAGAGGTAGACGAATGTTTAGTAGTACAACATATAGTTTTAGAGTTGAGAGACTAAACCATCAATTCTTAACATCTTATTACATAAGTCACTGAACAGTCGGTCTTATTAGCACATTTATAACATAAATTAGGGAGATTTCCCTTCTAAGTGGGGTTTTTTTCTGTTCACATCTGAGGTGAAGTTGTGTTTTAGTATGCTGAAAGCTAGAAGTGCTTGCTTATCGATGAGATTTTGGTGATATGACCACCTATATTCTTAACCCTTCCTATTAGTTTTAGTATTCATTGACTTATAAAACGTATCATTAAATCAAATGTCTACCTTTCAGACTTTAATAACAAACTAAAATGTCACCGATTTCATTATTCTTAGTTATGTAAAACTGATTGAACGTATTTCAGATAGGATTGTTTATTTGTGCATTAAAAATCAGTTAATGGAATTGTAGACCACCAATTCAGATGGTTGAAACTTACTATATGTAGCCTAACTATTGATAGTAGTAATGCGTCATGCTGATCAACTCAGGTATGTCTGCGAAAAGTTAGATGTATGTATGAAGTCAATGACCATCAGTCTAAACTGTCGGAGGATTTCAACTTATGTATTTTCTACGTAATAATTTTAATCTATAACTGACAGTCATTAAGACTGGTCACTGTGTTACATGTACGCGTTATTTCTACATTAAAACTATGAGTGTTTACGTTATTTCCCTAGCTTTAACTAACATTGTAAAAATCATTTCTATTCCCTTAACTAATTTCCGCTTTATGGAGATAGATATCAAGCCAGTAACTTGAGCCGATACGTGTGTATGGGATAGCCCAAATTCTTTGTGATTAAATGTATTCTTCCAAATAATTATTGAATTGTTCTGACTCCTTGGTACACTGGTATATTAATTTAAAGTTTTCTTACATTAATGTACAAGCACATAAAGTCAGCAACAACAGTAACTTCAGATAAGTGCGTGTAACAAAATAATTAACCTCAACATACGGGCGTAGTGAACTTTAAATTAAGCTGATTAAAGTTGGAGAAATCAACACTCCATTGCTTATATAACCCAATAGGTGTCGAGTTCCATGTTAATGAATATCTGATGGTGGAAGACGAACGATAACGTATCAAAACTAGTTGACAATAATACTAATACTGGTACTAATAATAATGATAATAAACAACCGTTACTATGTCCTGAATTACCAATCTTCTGAATCAATGAAAGGAGAGTCAGTAAACTGACCAGCTGACTAAATCGCTATCAGCTGCAAAATTAATGATAACTAATCTATAAGGAGTACTAGAACTAGTGGAATTATTGACGTTTACTTAATAAATACTAAACCATTGTTACATATTTGTCTTTTTATTCCATGACTTTACTATAAAATGAATTTGAATGGTGTTGATTCCATATTAATAAATCAAAATAAACAGAATAAGGATATTGTGGTGTTAAAACATTTCGACAACAAAAAAGAAAGTTTTTACAGTGAATTTATTTGAACAACCGATAAAGCAAACAACATAGGAATCACAATTCATTTGAGGAAATTTAAAATACATTTAAGAAAGATCCATTGTCTCAACACTATGAGCAGGTATATCTCGAACAACACGTGTTGTGACCACATCGAACTCAACATGATGAACACTTTTGTGGAGAACAGAAGTAGTACCTTCCGGAGGATTATACTTTTCTGCTCTGAAAAATTAATAAGTAAAGAAACAAGTTATGAGTATAGCAAGATATAAAGGTTGATAAAATGTAGAAATGACAGTTGTTCACTCTCTCCATTTTTGTTTAACTTTGTCGTTGACGTCCTTTTAGAGATGACACTTTCCTCATCTAAATTTCTAGGAGTTGAACTTCTACCGGGAGATCCACTTGTTGACTTAGAATATGCCGATGACATAGTTCTATTTAGTGAAGACGCTGACAGAATGTAGAGTCTGCTGACCACTCTAAGCAACAATGCAAGCATGTTCGGCATGCGATTTTCTCCCTCGAAATGCAAAATGTTGCTTCAGGATCGGGTTGCGTCGACACCCGAACCAGTGATAGGAAGTGAAGTAGTTGAGCGTGTTGACCGCTTCACTTATCTCGGAAGTCTCATCAGCCCTTGTGGTCTGGTGTGTGACGAAATCTCAGCATGGGTACAGAGGACTCGACTAGCTTTTGCCAACTTGCGTCATTTGTGGCGTAGGTGAGATATCCGTCTATCAACCAAAGGACGTGTTTGCTGAGCAGCAGTTCGTTCCGTCCTACTTTATGGCAGTGAAACATGGTCAGTAAGAGTAGAGGATATTCGTAGGTTACTAGTATTTGACCATAGGTGTCTTCGAAACATCGCTCGTATATCCTAGGACCACCGAGTAAGCAACTCAGTTGTTATGAAACGGGTACTAGGTAAGGATGGCAAATAAATTGAGGAAGTAGTGAAACTTAATCAGTTGAGATGGCTGGGACATGTGTTGCGCATGCCCGACCACCGACTGCCCCGACGTGCTATGTTTTATGGTGTAGAAGTAGGTTGGAAGAAAGCTAGGGGCGGCCAGACCAAAACATGGCACAAATCCATGAAGTCACTGACAAGTGGACTGAGTCATGTTGGTAGATGGAGACTACCTGGTTGGGGACCGCGAGATGATAGCAACCGATGGTTAGAGACCTTGATTGACATGGCTCAAAATCGTTTGCAATGGCGCAGGTGCATCCACTCTTTGTTCTCTCAAACTCTAATCTTCTGAATTCTTCATGTCCTTTATTTTCTTTCCCAATTTATTTCACTGGACTATACTCCTTTAATAACATCATCAAACCTTCATGTCCCCTATCTCTACTTATACTTTCAGTACCTCTACCACTATGGGAATTGAATCGATAACTGAATCTCTGTGCTAATGTGGTATGGCAACTCGAACTGATGTACGTACGTACGAAGTTCCACGTTGTTACTGACTGACTGAGAAATGACAGTTTGTTGACACCACAATGTAAAGCTATAATGCGGTCACATTTTATGCTTACTTTTATAATGTAAGAGCTGATAAATCTACTTTTTTTGTGGCGAAGCATCAGTAAATATAGTAGTCGAAACTCGGACGTTACTTCGTCAGATTTGAATTTCATTTCATTTACTATTTTCATCAGTTTTCACGAAACGGTTATCAACCTGTTATATAAATTTGGACCGTCGAATGCCAAAATTGTTGAATGGTTTAGATTGATAATTTTTTAGTGCTTCATTTGATTTCTGATGGGATGGAATACGAAGAACATTAGGACTAATGGTAATTATCCACTTAGATTGGAACATTAGGTTTACAGGATTGCACTGCGCTCACTGCTCGTTATCTACAGAAAGATGATGCTAATTGTACCAAGAGGTAATTAATAGAGCTGTGAGTGTGTAATAAGGATTTCTAATTTTCTCAGGTGCCAAAACACTGGTTACAGGTGAAAGAGCTTAATGGACTAAACATTTAAACATTCAAGTGGTTAACACCAGTTACTTAGACCATAAAGTGGACTAGATGAATATGAATAGTCCTATGCTCCCGAATCCCCTGGTGCGGCCAATGGTGTGAAGAGTCCACTCACCCTCTCGAAATGTCCTTATATGACCACTGCTATTGCCTCCTCTAGGAAGGGACATTATTTACGAAATTAAAAGGACACAAAGTGAATGTTCGGCGCTTAAAACGAGTCAGTGGGTACGAAAGATTCACATAGGGGAGCTGAAAGACCTTAATTAAAAACCAGTCGTACTTTATTTATTTATTTGAACACATAAATAGTTGGTACAAGGGGCACCAAATACATATGCGCCACACAAAACAATGAGGAATTTAAAGAGAAGTGAAGAAATAAAACAATAACGAACAGATTAGATGGTGGTTGGAGGTAGTCGACAGGAAACCCTGGACCCGGGTTTCGTGCTACTTGGCACTCGTCAGCAAGGTGTACCTGTAATCTTTGAGGGAACTGGTGCTCCCTGGCGGATTCGATCCCGTATCACCCAGCTCCACAGTCAGAGACGTTACCACTGAGCTATCCATACCGCGACCGACCTCCTGACTGTAAAGCTGGGTGACACGGGATCGAATCCGCCAGGGAGCACCAGTTCCCTCAAAGATTACAGGTACACATTGTTGACGAGTGCTAAGTAGCACGAAACCCGGGTCCAGGGTTTTCTGTCGACTACCTCCAACCACCATCTAATCTTACAATAGTGCCCGCGGTGTCCAGTCACCTAGACTGGTGGCCACATTGCAACATGATCGATAGCATTCGATCTGCACTGATAATAAGGACTAGACACGCATGACATTGGTCACCCAGTGATCAATCAATTGTGAACGAACAGATTAGTGTAAGGTAGTGTAATAGCAGTAATAATGGGGGAAACGGAAAGGTACAACCAAAAGAAATCTTCCAGTTAAGGAAGATACAACCACTTTTTATGAAGAAAGTAAAAGAAGGTTACAGCAGGATCGCCACTGGCTTCTATTCTGAGCCATATCTGATAACATCTCTAGCCACTGTGTTGCACCATCTCTCGGACCCCAGCCAGGGAGTCGTGAAGGACCAACACAAGCCAGCCCTTTGCAGCTTTCTTTCATACCCCAACACCATGTCATACACTGACCACCTCTCCGCTTTTTCCAACCATTCCCAAAGTCGGCAAATAATGCACGACGTGGAATTCTCTGGGACGACATTTGTAGAACATGTCCAAGCCACCGAAGTCGGTGTTTCAAGATGGTGACACCAATCGGATTGTCGTCTCTGTGCCCGAACACACGATGCCGAACCTCTGCATTACTAACATGGTGTTGCCACTGGATGTTAGCAATCCTTCGGAGACAGCGATGATCGAACACAGAGAGTCGTCTAACATCCTCAACTCGGAGAGACCAGGTTTCACAAGCATAGAGCAAAACTGCTCTCACCGACGCGTTGTAGATCCGACCTTTTACAGCCAGACTAACATCACGAAGGTGCCAAAGATGGCCCAGATTGGCATAAGCCGTTCTGGCTTTCACTATACGTGCATTGATCTCATCACTCACGCCACCACCAGCACTTATGCAGCTACCTAGATACACGAACTTCTCGACTACTTCTATCTGCTCACCATCCAGAGTGAGTACAGGATTAGAATCCTGCCAGTCTTGTAGAAGAACTTTGCACTTCGAAGGTGCAAAGCACATACCATACCTACGAACACTGATTGCCAACTGATTAAGTGCGGATTGCATGGCTTGGGCATTCTCGCACAGTAAGACAATATCATCCGCATTATCAAGGTCGAGAAGTCTTTCTCCAGGCAACAGATCCACACCACCATTACTTACATCCGTCAGAGCTGTTTCCAGAATGTCATCGATGGTAAAGTTGAAGAGGAATGGTGAGATTGGGCAACCCTGCCTAACTCCACTGCTTGAATAGAACAGTGGAGAAAGGTGGTTGTATGCCCTCACTCTGCCTGAGGTGTTTGTGTATAGGGCTTTTAGGATGTTAATAAACTTCTCAGGCACACCCTTCGTCAATAGACAATCCCAGAGAACAGTTCTGTCCAACGAATCGAAGGCAGCCCTGATATCAAGAAACACTACGATTGTTGGCCTTTGATAAGTATGGCGGTGTTCTAACATTTGGCGGAGGGCGAAGATATGATCAATACATCCTCGACCGGGACGAAAACCAGCCTGCTCCTCGCGAGTCAATCCTTCTCGGGTTTTGAACAACCTACAAAGTATAACGGAAGCCAATAGCTTGGACGCAATCGGAAGTAGACTTATCCCGCAACAGTTGTTACAGGAAAGACGTGAACCCTTTTTAAAGATAGGGACAACTATCGACTCATTCCATGACGTTGAACTGCCCTTCGAAGAATTCTGCCCATCGTCCAAGACCTCGACGGATGTTAGTGATTAGCATCCCGTCATCCTCACAGATCGTTTCGCTCACATCAGACTTCTTGCTGCCATAGGCTCGGATGAGTTGGAAGAGCTTCCAGTAGTTAACAGATGCAGATGCTGCTTCCAGCTCATTAGCACGCTCCAACCACCAGACTTCTCGATCCTTACGCAAGCTTTGCCCAATTTCAATATGTAACATCCTTCGTTTGTAGTCAAACTCACGGTCACCCGGAGTAGACTGACGGGCTTCAATGAGTTGTAAGGAACCCGAAGAAACCCAGTGCTTATAAGCGGGACGTTTCGCGAACCCACAACAGACTTTACCCGCCATTTTCATGGCGTCATGCAATTGCATCCAATGCTTATCTATACTTTTCCGTGGAATGGTAGCTAGCCTAGAAGCTAGCTCGATTCGATACTTTCTAGCAACAGAAGTTGCAGCCAGCTTGCTAACATCAATCCTTTGGTGACGGTCACTTCATTGGCCACCGAAAAGTAAGGTAAGATTGGCGCAGACCAGGGCATGATCAGATTCCAGATAGGTACTCCAAAAGGAGCGGCAGTCTTGTACACAACCACGCCAGCGGTAGCTCATCGCGATGTGATCAATCTGAGTCCAGGCTTGACATGCAGAGGGAGGACGCCAGGTGGCACATCGGCGATGACCTTGCCGAAAGTTAGTGCTAGCCAGAAACAGGTTGTGGTCTGTGCACAGTTGCAGTAGACGTTCCCCGTTATCTGTCCTGTGACCAACGAGTCCCCATCGGCCACCTAAACGACTCTCTTCTGTGCCTAGACGCCCGACCTGAGCATTCAAGTCTCCAGCTAGTACTACAATATCTGTCGAGCGCACTTTCTGGAGAAAAACGGATAACTGGTGGTAGAATTCATCCTTGATTGCATCCGGGATGCAATCTGTCGGGGCATAAGCGGAGATGACGAAAAGACATCGTTTCTCACGCTGATTTCTTCTCACTTTGATCAAACTTTCTAATATAACAGCACATAACCGACTGTTAATGGTGATCCAAACGATTAGTGCTGCCTCAGCTCTAGCGCTTAGTGCGACACCAACGCCAGCAAGACCAGACGAAGATGCCACAGGGTCCCCGGATAAACGCACGTAAAACCAGCTTTTTGAAGCGACAGATGGAGAGCGAACTTGTGGTACTTCACCAGAGTCTTGAATACGGGTCTCAGATAGACAACATACGTCAATATTAAGACTTTCCAAAGACATAGCCAGCCCTATCTGTTGTCCGATCTGCATAAGTGTGTGAACGTTAAAGGCAGCCAGTTTGAACGGTGCACGCCTGACATTTGCTTTTCGTCCTCTCATTTTCGTAAACAGAACCCCCGCCACGAAAAGGCAGTGAGTAGGACTTCCCTAGCAGAGGCTGTATACGCGTGGCGAACCCACCCCACTCTCGGCCATACTAGGGCATTTGGGGGCACCTTTTCGTTTCCCCCATTATTACTACTATTACAGTACCCTACACTAATCTGGTTGTTATTGTTCTTTTTTTATAATTCCCTACACTCTTTACCTTTTTTCCCTTCTCTTTAAATTCTCATTGTTTTGTGTGGCGCATATATATTTGGTGTCCTTCTGTTCCACTATTTGTGTGTTCAAATAAATAAATAAAATAAATACAAATATCTATAAGCGCCGTACATATTTGATATATTTCCATCTACAGTTGGTGTTGAGATACTTAATTATTAACAGCAAATTTGAGTGAAGTGGAGAGAATCCATTCAAAAAGCTCAACGAAATAAAAACACTTTTAAAAAGTGAAATGTTTTTAAATGACAGCAAACAAATACGAAAATTATACACACCTCTTGCCTTTGACATTAGCTTCATCATATGATCGTATATAGGTTGTCCCATCTTTAGTAATAATACATATATCAACATTACTACCAGACCCCATATCGTTGAATATCCCAGCTGCTATTCCATCACGTACTAATTTTACGGCTTCATCTTGCTGAAAATTGGAAATATGTCCAGTCATATTACACTTAATTATTTGAATTATTCTTGAAACATAAAATAACGAAAACACTGACAATTTCTGGATAGATGATGAATATTTGACAGTGATAAAACACTGTAAAGAAGAGTTATTTATAAAGTTAGTGTGTTTAGTTTAGTAACCAGTGGACTAATTAGTTAAATAGCCATAAGCAACATTGAACCTGGGAAATATGTGGAATGGCTTTAATTCCCGCACCATATAAGACAAATTCCATAGTAGGGATAGTATTAATGATAGTAAGAAACATAAGCCAGAGATTGTATGATTCGAGGAAGAACGAATTTGAGGAATGAAAGGTGTGACCTCAAGTTTCTATCGTTTAAGATAATCTCCCAGACCCCAATCAGATAGTCGTCATTTACCAACACGAATCAGTCTAATAATCGGTAACTTTAGGGGCTTTTTCCAAATTAACGCTATACCGGCTTATACTGTGCGATGAAGTGGGTGGTGGTTGGGGATACATAATACATGTTTCAATCACTTTAGTTGATGAAGACTCATAATCTCATAAGACGATTTGCCATCTTTGCTTAGTACTCTATGTCCAACTTCAGCGTTGCTTTCAGGACATTTGTGATGAAAAACCTACAGCCTACCCATATCTTTTCGTTTCACAGTAATACCAAGCGAGCTGCTGGGCAGTATACACACCCATTTGTTGGCAGACAGAAATCATGGCAACATCATGAATGATGAGAATAGGTAAAAACCAAGAAAGCTTTCCGAACGTGTCGAAACCTGGTCAATCACTATCCCACCAGGGTTGATATGACTTCCGAGATGAGTAAAGTAGCTAATGTACTCAAATGATTTACTCCCATAACAATTCGACACAATAATCATATAGATCTTTTCACAATAAACCAGTGGTTACACTTGTATTTAAACATTATTATTAAAGGTAGTCATTAGGAACTCAGGCTAGGTTCTTAATGTGTTGAAAAATAAACCTGATCGCCAACGAATTTCAAGGAAGGTGTGTATGGTGGGATAGTAGCGGAGAGTATTGAAGTTGAGATTATTTTACATATCATTATTGTTTATATTTCCATTGTCTAATTATTAAACAATTAGATCATATTTTTACATTCCCTGTATTGCAGTCTCACGTTGAACTACTTAATTGTGGCTATATGCTCTACTATTTCTTACCCATTTTTATTATTAACCTTTTGTCCCGTTTTTTTTGTGCTTATGGTTTGATTGTGTCCAAGCTATAAATTCATGTACGGTATCGGTCGTTTATTATTCGCCGAGTCATTGGAGGACATCTGTCCTACAAACATAGAGCGAATTTAATCAGTATTCAGAATATACAGTATAACTGTTCCCACAATAACAGCCCGGAAACGTGGACCACAAAAGGAATCAAGAACTCTAAGTTTTGGGTTGTGGAGATTGTTGGATTTCGTTGAAATCATGAACCGATCAATGTTAGACCAACACTGAAATCCTGGAACCACTGGATGGCCGTTCCGTCCTAGTATGGGACTCAGCAGCGCGCATCCGAGATCCCTTAAATGAGGTATGAACCCGAGACCAGTTTCACGCAGACGCTTTATCTCTGAACCGCTGAGCCATTAATATGGTTAGATGTGGACTCAGTTGTCTAGAGATAAAACGTCTGCGTAAAACTGGTCTTGGGTTTATACCCCACGTAAGGGATCGCGGATATGCACTGCTGAAAAGTCCCATAGTACAACAGAACGACCATCTAGTGTTTCCAGGTTTTCAGTGATGGTCCAACATTGATCGGTTCATGATTTCAATGAAACTTGAGAACATTTTCCTCATAAGGTTAATAACAACTAACATGTGCATAACCACTAATTCGTCAAAATAGACTTAATGATTATTTTTAAGAATCTCGCGTTATAGTATGTAAGCAGGATTAGAAAAACTCGACTGTTTGTGCATAAAACAGATCGAAATGTGAACTTCCTGTAATTCCATTGACAGGTACACAAGAATCCATCTATGGAAGAGTCTCTTAGTGATTAAGGTACTTGGCTTTTAACTAAGTCGCAGATTCTTAACCGTAGCTGTTACCTTGACAAGGTCTGTTGTTCAGTTGCGGACTACTGGCGATAGTGAGGTTTGTATCAGACAACCAACATCTGTAGTAACGCTCTTATAACGGAAGTAGGGTCAGGAGGTATTGAGACTATGGCATACCCAAATTGAAGACAGACGAATCAACTTACTTCCATGTCAAATTTAAATCTTGATTCAAGTACAGACATACACGCAAGACTCCCACTACCCATAGTGATATATGGTAATTTATCCGTTGATCCATGCGGTGCAATGCTAAACAAATGAGGGCCAGTTGAGTCCACACCACCTAGTACGAGTGCAGCACCAACATAACCCTATGAATTCAAAATAATACAGGAAATTGGATTACCTGGTACTGATAAAGATAGCGTTTAAGGAGACGAAGTGGAGCGATAACACGAGGAGTCCTGCCCGTATTCAAACGGTGAAGCTCAACTTGCGAAGAAATCATCAATGTAACCATTTGAGTGTCAGCTGCAGTTCCAGCTCCACAGCAACTAAATCGTTATTTGAAGTATAACTACATACTATATATTTTCCGCAATGCGATGAATTTTTGAGCAGTTTTTTTCAGCGACTACACTACCTTCTGTTGCCCGTGTATCTGCACCTAGAACTATTCCATTCTAAGGGAGTGTTCATCAGGTTTATTAAAAAGTACCTTGAAAACGACTCCACATATCGTTGTTCCAGTCTTTACTGCTTTGGGCAATTTAAGGCCCTTTTGTTCGATGACTTTATTCCTAATTTAAACATGAATGAGTCAGGGTCCACAAACCTGTAACAGTTTTCGAACGAGAAACCACCAGACCTCCTATCAAGGACAAGGGAACCCATGATGAAGCCGAAAACCCAAAAGCCCGCCCTACAAAGGTCAATCTTTGGGAGGAAGTTTTAAGTTTCAATCTCAAATGGTTCAAATGGTTCAAATGGTTGCGGACGGAATAGAAGAAGCTTTCGCTTAACAGGCTTCCGTGTCTAGTAGCAGTGGATCACCAATACCTCCAGGCAAGAACCTAGGTATATTAACGATAAAAGAGAAAGAAAATGAGTTGGTAAATCATAGTAGAATACTATCCTTAGTCCTTAAGAATAGATCAAGTCGCCTCTTAAAGGACTCCTGTGAAGTTGCTTGGACTAGCTCAGCTGGCAGCGAGTTTCAGAATTTGACAACTCTTAAGGAGTAGAAATTGTGTCTGCAGTCCGTTCTACTATGTTGTATCTCCAGTTTTTGGGTGTTACCCCTTAGGTTAGTGTTGGGACTAAGCTTAAGTAGGTGTTTAAGAGGGTGTCCAGGTGTGTTAAGGATACTGTAAGCCATTAGAATGTCACCTCTAAGACGCCTATACTCTAATGGGTAAAGGTCGAGTGATTGGAGGCGCTCATCGTAAGGTTTAAATTTGAGTCCCCGAGCTGATTTCGTGGCTCGCCGTTGGATACGCTCCAGAGTGACCTTATCCTTTTGGAGTGTAGGAGGGAATACTATGTTCCCGTACTCTAAATGGGGACGAATGAAACTATTGAAGATTATGTGGAAAGTTCTCCCGTCAAACTGACCAAAAATGCGCTTCAATGTTACCAGTGCAAGGTTCGCTCTAAAGGCATTTTTGTCACAGTTGGCGTAAGACTTTAAGTCGTAGGGCACCAGAACTCCTAAATCTTTTTCGACTCGGGATACTACTAGAGAGGAGTTTCCTAAGTTGTAACTGTAATCTGCGACGTGTCGCAGATGGACTACTTTACACTTTGAAGTGTTAAAGGTAAGTCCGTTATCATCTGCCCAACTTTGAAGTCGAGTCAGATCCTCCTGAAGTGCCTGTATGTCCTCTTGGTTCCGTATCTCTCTCCAAAGTTTCACGTCATCGGCAAAGAGCAGTATGTCTGACGTTACCTGTTGAGGAAGATCATTTATATAAATCAGGAAGAGGAGAGGTCCTAGTACTGAGCCCCGGGGGACCCCACTAGAACATTCCATAGCGCGTGAGAAATTGAAGTTTACCCTGACCTTAAAATGTCGATTTGTGAGGTATGAACTGAGCCAGTCAATTAAAGGTGGTTTGATTCCCAATTGTTTGAGCTTGTTAATAAGACATGTGTGGTTAACCCTATCGAAAGCTTTAGAGAAATCAAGGTAAATGATGTCTACCTTCCCCTTGCGATCAACGATGATTGTCCATCTGTCCACCGCGGTCAGCAGGTTCGTCATACAGGAATAACCCTTCCTGAAACCATGCTGTTGGGGTGAGAAGAAATTTAAGGACAGCAGATAGTCATGTATATCATCGTATACCAGGGACTCCATGATCTTTGAAGGTATAGAGAGAAGGGCCACCGGTCGGTAACTTGAAGGTTCGCAGCGTCGACCTCCTTTGAAGATTGGTGTGATATGAGCCAGCTTCCAAATATCCGGTAGTTTGCCCCGACTTAGCGAGTGTGAGAACATCACGCTAAGCGGTGTTGCCAGGATTAAAGCTGCTTCCCTCAGTATAGCAGAGTGGACCATATCTGGACCAGGAGAAGTGTCTGTTCTTAGGTGTTGTAGTTTACGGTACATCAAGTCAGCGCTCAGTTTCACTACGGAAAGTCCTGTGCAGTTGCAGACAGAGCGGACATCAGTATAGTTGATGTGGGTCGGCTGAAATGTCCGGGAGTAGTGCTCAGCCAGAAGGTTAGCGGCGTCACCGTCATTATCTGTCGGGCCGTTAGGACCTAGCAGTTGAGAAACTCCAGTTTTGGCTTGACGAAGAGAGGCTGCATAACGGAATAAGCTTTTCGGATTGGAAATAAATTTATCCATAAGCTTTAACTGGTACTGAAGCCTGTCTTCTCTTATAGCCTTCGTACATATGTTCCTTATATGTTTGTATTGCCTGTACTCGCCGTTGTTGTTGGTTCGTTTGTATTCTGCCCAACATTGATCATCAAAATCAGTGACTTATTCGTTTGTTTGGACCTACTTATGCGTAGTTGGAGTGAGATTTAGGCCATAGAGAGATAATATATTAGCAATATTCCTTCCAGAATGTGAAGCCGTCAGTGAATTTTAACACTTGACTACTCTGAAAGGGGTGAATTTATCCGCAAGGCAACCATGTAAAGTTAATGCATCACCCAGAGTCACCTGTGCGTTCAAGTAACCACAGATTTTGTCATTTCATAATGTATTTTTATTTATTCAACTAGATTATGTTGTTAATTTTACTCTGGTTATAACTTTTATTCGCCACGTCTGACTGCGTTACACTGTACATTCATTGCACGCTGGAGTGATATCCCAAGTCATAGTGAGTTTAATCTCATAGTTGATTGTTTCCAGATATACCGTCGCTGCATGATGTTACTGAAGGAAGGTTTGTTGTACTGTAAACTATGTTTTTATGAACAACTGACTGTTGTCTTCAGTCTGAAAGCAATATATGTATCCTTTGTCTTCTCTTAGGTAAGTTCGACTGGCCTATATTTCGTGTTTTGGCTTTATCGGCTGAATTATATCCATTTGAACAACATGTCTGTGCAAATGAAACAATATTTATGACACTTGCTTAGTTTAGTATTCTTGGTTGTCGTATAATTCAGTTTAGTCGAAAGAATTATGGTATACTTAAGTATACTGGATGAAGCCTGTAACAAAAAGAATCAGTTTAGTGAATAGAGCTGCCTGTTTTTAATGAGTATACTGATTCAAATCAGTCTGACTAAAAATAGGGAAAAGTGCTTTTGGTACTGTTGCTGTCATAGATTATTTGATAGCTTTGAGTACGTTTGGTGTTTATTTCTAGACAGTACTTCTAACACTGTCCATGTTTCAAGACCACTGTCATTAAACGATTTCCCCAGCAATAACATAGTTGTTACAGAAACGACGTGAACCCTTTTTAAAGATAGGGACAACTATCGACTCATTCCATGACGTTGAACTGCCCTTCGAAGAGTTCTGCCCATCGTCCAAGACCTCGACGGATGTTAGTGATTAGCATCCCGTCATCCTCACAGATCGTTTCGCTCACATCAGACTTCTTGCTGCCATAGGCTCGGATGAGTTGGAAGAGCTTCCAGTAGTTAACAGATGCAGATGCTGCTTCCAGCTCATTAGCACGCTCCAACCACCAGACTTCTCGATCCTTACGCAAGCTTTGCCCAATTTCAATATGTAACATCCTTCGTTTGTAGTCAAACTCACGGTCACCCGGAGTAGACTGACGGGCTTCAATGAGTTGTAAGGAACCCGAAGAAACCCAGTGCTTATAAGCGGGACGTTTCGCGAACCCACAACAGACTTTACCCGCCATTTTCATGGCGTCATGCAATTGCATCCAATGCTTATCTATACTTTTCCGTGGAATGGTAGCTAGCCTAGAAGCTAGCTCGATTCGATACTTTCTAGCAACAGAAGTTGCAGCCAGCTTGCTAACATCAATCCTTTGGTGACGGTCACTTCATTGGCCACCGAAAAGTAAGGTAAGATTGGCGCAGACCAGGGCATGATCAGATTCCAGATAGGTACTCCAAAAGGAGCGGCAGTCTTGTACACAACCACGCCAGCGGTAGCTCATCGCGATGTGATCAATCTGAGTCCAGGCTTGACATGCAGAGGGAGGACGCCAGGTGGCACATCGGCGATGACCTGCCGAAAGTTAGTGCTAGCCAGAAACAGGTTGTGGTCTGTGCACAGTTGCAGTAGACGTTCCCCGTTATCTGTCCTGTGACCAACGAGTCCCCATCGGCCACCTAAACGACTCTCTTCTGTGCCTAGACGCCCGACCTGAGCATTCAAGTCTCCAGCTAGTACTACAATATCTGTCGAGCGCACTTTCTGGAGAAAAACGGATAACTGGTGGTAGAATTCATCCTTGATTGCATCCGGGATGCAATCTGTCGGGGCATAAGCGGAGATGACGAAAAGACATCGTTTCTCACGCTGATTTCTTCTCACTTTGATCAAACTTTCTAATATAACAGCACATAACCGACTGTTAATGGTGATCCAAACGATTAGTGCTGCCTCAGCTCTAGCGCTTAGTGCGACACCAACGCCAGCAAGACCAGACGAAGATGCCACAGGGTCCCCGGATAAACGCACGTAAAACCAGCTTTTTGAAGCGACAGATGGAGAGCGAACTTGTGGTACTTCACCAGAGTCTTGAATACGGGTCTCAGATAGACAACATACGTCAATATTAAGACTTTCCAAAGACATAGCCAGCCCTATCTGTTGTCCGATCTGCATAAGTGTGTGAACGTTAAAGGCAGCCAGTTTGAACGGTGCACGCCTGACATTTGCTTTTCGTCCTCTCATTTTCGTAAACAGAACCCCCGCCACGAAAAGGCAGTGAGTAGGACTTCCCTAGCAGAGGCTGTATACGCGTGGCGAACCCACCCCACTCTCGGCCATACTAGGGCATTTGGGGGCACCTTTTCGTTTCCCCCCATTATTACTACTATTACAGTACCCTACACTAATCTGGTTGTTATTGTTCTTTTTTTATAATTCCCTACACTCTTTACCTTTTTTCCCTTCTCTTTAAATTCTCATTGTTTTGTGTGGCGCATATATATTTGGTGTCCTTCTGTTCCACTATTTGTGTGTTCAAATAAATAAATAAAATAAATACAAATATCTATAAGCGCCGTACATATTTGATATATTTCCATCTACAGTTGGTGTTGAGATACTTAATTATTAACAGCAAATTTGAGTGAAGTGGAGAGAATCCATTCAAAAAGCTCAACGAAATAAAAACACTTTTAAAAAGTGAAATGTTTTTAAATGACAGCAAACAAATACGAAAATTATACACACCTCTTGCCTTTGACATTAGCTTCATCATATGATCGTATATAGGTTGTCCCATCTTTAGTAATAATACATATATCAACATTACTA